CCCCCCCCCCCCCCCCCCCCCCCCCCCCCCCCCCCCCCCCCCACCCCACACCCGCACCCGACTTATCTGCTGTTGAGTGTATGCATTAGTATTTTAGTTGTCAAGAAATATAGCATGATTTCACTGCAGTGACGCCAATTTGTTATGTTTTTTGACTCTATGCAAATCGAATATATCATCTTCTTTCGGATTCCTAGTTAATGTTCGGTTATGTGCCGTTGACAGAGTATGCCACACTCTAACATATTCACAGATTGATTGAAGTGTAATTTATTTTACGTACACCTTATTCCAGTCAAGACAAGCTACTTCAAAGTAGTCTATAGAGAACATAATACAAACTAATCGAAAGATAATGTTCATGTCAATGCCTTTTTTTTTTCAAATGTATTTCAAGCGTTGTCTTCAGATTCTTTCATCCGGTTGCTAAATGCCTGTACTAAACTATCCAACAGTTCAGAACGAGAAGCGTCCAGCTCGTGCAGCCCATGGCTATCGTATACTCTAATAATATCATCAACGACGGTTACAGCAATACCTTGCCACAGAGCGACGTGTGTGACTAATGGAAGCCACTCGTCGATTTCCGAATCCAGGAAGACTTTGATAAAATGGTCCGAAGGAATAGTCGCCCAGTTAAATTCTTTATTTTGCTTCACACATTGATATAGCTTTGAAACTGTTTTTGGATCCAAATCTATTATGCATTCATATACACCAATATCTTCGATAAAAGCATGATTAGTCCAATAGTACCAAAAGTCTGTCCTAGAATCAGATGCATTCAACCAAGCAATAATGATTTCCTTATTTCTTAATTTGTCCCGTATTTTCGGTAGAACGTTACGTCCCGTTTCTTGAAACGACCAGTTTCGGCTACTAAATGAATTCAACAGAGCAGCGAACATCTTGTTTGTTACCAGTTTTTCAGCAATTATCTCAAGAGCTTTCCATCCTCTGTCTTGCACCATGTAGTCTTCACTCTCTAGCGCAAGTAGCAGAGCATCGATCACTTGATTCGTTGCTGCTTTTTCACCGATTCGTCCTAGAGCCTCACATACTTTATATTGAATGGAGGAATTTCCATCACGAAGTAAAGTCAGAAGCGCAGTGATACCTTCGTTTCCAGTCGCTTTTTGAGCAAGATTTTCTAGTGCCAAACATGCTTGCTCTTGTACGCGCCAGTCTTCATGCTGTGCTGCTTTCAAAAGACCGACCATTACCTCATTCGTAGCTCCTTTTCTACCCATTCTACCTAGCGCCACAGTGGCCTGATATACGACCGCCAAAGCTGTATCTTGAAGTGATTCCAACAAAGCAGTAATCACATCATTCGTCGTCACTTTTTCACCCATTTTCCCAAGACCTGCACATGCTGTACACCTAATTCTTCGATCATTGTCATGTACTCTATTGAGCAAAGCAGTAATTATCTCATCCGTTGCTGCTTTCTCAGTCAATTTTTCAACAGCTTCATGAGCTCCATATTCATCTGGTTTCTCTTCATTTGGTCTGAGATTCAGAAGAGTAAGTATTACCTCCTTGGTTGCTGCTTTTTCACCCATTTCTCTCAAAGCTTCACAGGCTGCTTTTCGGAGTGATGAGTCTTTGCTTTGAAGAGTATCTAGCAATGCTTCGATCACCTCATCGGTTGCTGCATGTTCGCCAATGTTCACTAAAACTCTGCATGCTTCCTCCCGTACATAATACTTTTCATCTCGAAGTGCTGATACAAGAACAATAGAAACGTCCTTTGCCGCTTTTTTTTCAGCTATTTTTGCCAATGCGCAACGTGCATCCCATCTGACCAAGTCCTCTGTATCCTGAAATTCATTTATCAAGCCAGTAATCACTTCTTTTGTTGCTGCTTTTTCACCCATTGCTCCAAGTGCACCACTCGCGGCTCTGCGTACAGATGAGCTCTCATCTTTGAGGGCTTTTACCAGAGCGGCGATAACTTCTTTCGTTGCCACTTCCTTACCCATTGATCTTAGAACATCACATACTTCCTGCCGTACATACCAATTTTCATCGCTAAGTGTACTCACCAGAGTGGCAAGTACTTGACTGGTTGCAGACTTTTCACCCATTTTTTCAAGAACTCTACAGGCATCACCTTTAACAGACGATTCTTTCCCCTGAAGTGCATTGATTAGAGCAGTGGTCATCTGGTTGATTGAAACTTTTTCGCCCATTTTTTCTAAGGCTTCACGTACATTATATCGAACTGATGAGTCTGTATCACGAAGGCCATTGAGAAGAATGCTAATTATTTCGCAAGTTGCTACTTCTGAGCTCATTTTAGATACCGCCCAAGACGCTCCTTTTCGGATATCAGCGTCTTCATGTTGAAGTGCACAAATGAGAGCGTCGATCAACTCTTTCGTTATTTTTTTTTGGCCTAATTTTCCTAGAGCGTCACAAGCAGTTCTGCGTACCAGCTGTTCTTCGTCTTGAAGCACTCTTACTAGACCACTAATAACTTCATTTGTGACTGCCTTCTCACCCATTTCTCCTAGGGCTTTACACGCTTCCTCTCGCACCGATTCGTCTTCATCATGAAGTGAATTTAGCAGCACTATGAAGACTTCATTCGTTGCTGCCTTTTCACCTATTTTTTTCAAGGCCTCACACAAGTTTTTTCTTGCATGTAGCTCTCCATTTCGAAGAACAGGCAGCAGAACAACCAGTATATCTTCAATTTTCCGCTTTTCAGCTACTTTCTTCAGCGCATCAGAGACATTCCAATAATACCAAAAATCATAAGTGTGCTTAATCTGAAATGCATTTACAAGAGCATTAATCATTTCATCTGTTGCTGTACATTCAGCTAACTGTCGGAGAGCTTGAGCCGCTGCACATTGCATGAAACCATCTTTATGATGAAGTGCATCATTGAGAACAGCGATTGTTTCAGATGTTGCTGCTTTTTCGGCTATGATTTTGAAGGCATCATGCACTGAATCCCGAACATACCTGTCTTCATCATTAGCTGCATTGAGTAGAGCGGTGACTACTTCCCTGATAGGCGCATTTCCACTTGCCTCTCCCAAGGCTCTGCATGCCGTCCCTCGGACAGTACGATCTTCATCACCAAGCGCTATGAGAAGAGCCCTTATTACTTCGTTTCCTGATTTTCCTTTCCGTATTTGTCCCAGAGCTTTGCATGCTTCACATCGAATGGATGGCTTTTCATCTTGAGATGCTTTTACCAAAGTAGTAACAATGCTATCTGTTGCCGCTATTTCATTCATACTCAATAACACTGCATATGCTTCCTCTCGGACGAAAGCTTGTTCATCATGTAGTGCTTCTACTAAAGCAGGAGACGGCTCATGTTTTGACGCTTGTCGGAGCACTTCTCTCAGAGCTCTGGACGATTTGTTGCGGACATTCCAATCTGGATCTCGAATTGTGATCATTAGTGCAGCAATGACTTCGTTTGTTGCCACTTTTGCACCGATTTCACCTAGAATTTCACAGGCTCGCGACTTGATGGATTTATCTTGGAGTTGAAGTACACTTAGTAGGCCAACTATCACTTCCTGCGTTGGTGATTCTTTCCCAAACTTAATAAGGGCCTTTTCAGCTGTGCTTTGAAGAGAATAATCCTTATCTTCAAGAGCATTAATTAAAGTAGTAATCGTCTCTTTTGTTACTGCTTTGTAGCTCATCTTGCCGAGAAATTCACATGCTTCACGTTGGACGGATTTCTCCCCATTCTTTAGTTCTTTAGAAATGGCTGACACCAATTTAGGGGTATGATTGGATATTGTTAGCTGCGATAAATGTCTTAGCAGATGGAATTTGCCAATGTTGTCTCTTGTAGTAAGTAAATCAAAGAATTTCTTTTGTACGGCTGAATTATTAATTATAGAATTGGTACGTTGAAATGATTCTAGAAGGCTATCAGTGATTGGATTTGACTCTCTGACAAAGTAGATCTCTATCCAACGTAGTATTGGCACTAAATACTCTGCACGATTACGAAATACCGTTATATCCAAAATTTGATCGATGCATTCAATAATTAATTTTATATGTTTGATGCCGACAAGATCTAACGGTTCTTCTTGAATTGTTTTCCAAAATAAATCCATGCATGATTTATAATCAGGTTTTGCTAGAAGACCTGATGCAAAAACAAAGACGAAATGAAAACGTTGGTTGTACTTGTTATTATTGATAAAATCTATTGGTTCTTGTTTGTTTGAATTGTTCAAAGTTCTCAATAAATGTCGAGCTGCAAAATGTTCTTGGAAAGTCAAATGAACAAAATAATGTTGTTTATTGGCTTCTATTTTATCGTTAATGGGTCTGTCATCATATGATTTTAGAATACCCATATTCAATAAATGCGGATAGTTATCTAACGAACAATTCAACTCGTATTCTGTTTCTACGAGAAGTTCCGGTGGTAACATAATTTGACTGCTTTCCATTGCTTTGAAGGCCAAACGTTCGAGAAATTGTAATTCCATATCACATCTCTTATACGGAGTTAGATTTGAATTTATTTCTTCACCTTTATCTTTTCTCTTTAAGTACCGTCGACACAACCATTCTGTTATATTATCATATAATCGCGTTATTGTTAACATACTTTCTTTGGATGAAGCAGTGTTCGCCCAAAGGCTGCATATCAATTCTAAATTCACAGGAATGTGAGCAACTCCCCAGATACCAGGATTAGATTCCAAGAAACGCAACAGTTTTTCGCTCCTAAGTAAAGCATCTTTCATTTCGTTTTTAATTCCGTTGAAGAAATGCTCGATAAATTTTGGAATATTTTCATTGGTGAATCCTGTTATTTCCATTTTTACATCATATACTATTGAAACAGCATAAGGACGAGATGTCAATATATGATGTTGCGTTCCATATATATAGTCGAACATAGGTTTTAACTTTTTCGGAATATTCTGAACAAACTCATCATAACCATCTAATACCCATAGAATTTGACCATCCTTACATTGTTTTTCGAACCAGTGTCTACTTTCATTCGATAAACCTTCCGATAGTGAGTGTTCCTCTTGTACTATATCAACTGGCGAGTAATCTTTTCCTGATTTATACTTGCTATCTGTTAAATTTCGTAAATAAATGAGAATAACTAGTTCGTATTGAGACCAAATTTCACCTTTTGCCCATCGGTAAGTAACATATTGACAAAAGGTTGATTTTCCGATTCCAGCACGTCCAAACACGAGTACTTTCTTTATTTGGTCTTTACATTTGTCAAAAATATTTTCTACTTGAATCGAAGTCTTCACGCCATATATTTCTTCATAGGTGCTAAGAAGATTAGTTGTCATCTGTTTAGAACCATTGTCTTGTTCACTATCTTCTTGTATTTGTTGATTTTGTTCCTTGAGTTTCTTCTCTTTTTCATGTTGCTCTTTTGTTTCGACGATAGCCAAATTAATATAGCTCTCTTCTATTGACAGAGTTTCTTCAGTCACTGCGCGTGTAACTGCATTTTTTTTAAGATAATTCTGCCGAATCTTCTCGAAGATTTGCATTGATGGTACAGTTGATTCAACTTCTGAGGTTGAATGTTGTTTTAGTATTCTCTGAATGAGTTCTCTTATGCTCGCTTGTAAATTCAGTTCTGATGCATCAGAAAAATCTATAGCCAGTATAGAGCCAGTAATCAAGTCCAACCACTTTCTTGGTGATGGTTTCCATACTTTTCTGTTAACAGCCATGCATGGAATGATGCGTTTTTTATGTCGTTGTGCATGTTGCAATTCAAGTTTGCAATTATCCGAAGCCTCGTATCCAGGTGACATAAAACAGCAGACAATCGTAGCATCAAAAACTCCTTCGGCCATACTAATAACAACAACACAAGCGGACATTTTCAAAAGAATATGGATCATATTTCGTAGGTACCTGTCAAGTATGTTATCTTCCATATCTTTTTCATCGAACCACACTGGAACTTTTTCGTCTACTAAAGCTTTGTAAACTGCCTTGACAATAGCTTTACTCTTATGATTATACGAAAGCATGACGCGTATTCCTTCAGTGGTTGCCATTTGAAAGTTTACAATGATTACTTTCTGAAATGTCTATTTAACAAATGGCGACGATCTCACCCTACTATTATATGAAGAGCTATCGATTAAAATCGAAGTCTCTATAGTTTACTGGTTTCTTTAATTTTTCATGAAGGATTACTATGTAGTTAGAGATGTGAACTGAAAATGTATCGAAAATCTTTTCGTATACTACGACATAACATCTATTTATCTAAATAAAATATTAAATCACTGTGTACGAAACTAAATAACTCATTAACTAAAATAGAATTGTATTTAAAAGCGCAGTTCAAACAACATCTCAACAGAAATATTTTTACCAATGTCAATACAAAATGTGTTTCACTTTCTGACTAACAGTGCATACATCTACCTTCTACTTCGCACGTAAACATATTTTGCCAATAAGAAGCTGAAAGCCGGTCAATGATTTTTTGCGTTCTGATTATTTCACTGAAATCCGTTACATTTTTTTTCATGCATAAGAACGCTTTATTACTGAAACGACGATTGCAAATAACCATGCCTATATAAGTGTTTTTTCTTTTACTATAGTAAACATTTGTTGCATGATTGAAAGAATTCGTGCTTATGGAGAGAAAAAAAGCATTGTCACTGATGCATTTCTTTCTGTTTTGAGCAGCGCTTACAGAACATAGTTCTTTACATACGTACACAATAACAAGGACAAAGAAAGTAACCATAGAAACGAAAGTATTGGAAATAACCGAATACATAGGACCGATGGTTATAAGTTCTTTATACACAATGTCAGAAAATCTGTGAAGTTTGATAAAACAAAAATTATTCTATTGAACTGATAGTTTCTTACTGGAAATTTCTTAGGGTGTGGGTGTGGGTGTGGGTGTGGGTG